TGTGAGTCAGGTGCTGGTGATTCAAATATGGCGCCTGCCTGCCGGCTGTGCGGGGAGGACTCACCACAGGAGCCACGGCCTCTGCCAGCCCTTCTGCTTGGGAGGAAGCTGCCCCTCCACCTGTTGCCCCAACTTCAGGCAGGTTAGTTCCTCCCCGAGTGTCCCAGGTCCTTTCAGGCTGCTGCCCGGCGCTGGGCTCAGAGGGAGCGTCCAAGTGAGTCCGTGCGCGAGCCCTTTGAGAGGAGCTACTGGGGCTCCCGCAGCCTCCGGGACCCTCAGCCACAGTCCCTGCTGGTTTCACTGCCCGAAGTTGTGGGGATGTCTCTTCCCGGCCTGGAGCCCTGGGCTGGAGGCCTGCTGTGGGACTGGGACCCCTCACTCCTCCGGGAAACTCCCACCGCCGAGATTCCCTTCTGGGTTTACCGCGTGGCACTGGGTGTGGGCCCGCGGCCGAGTCTCTGCGATTCAGCCCTGATTCAGCCCTGATCCACCCACGTCTCCGCCCCTCCTACAGCTCTCGGTGCTTCTTCAGCTCCTTGGTTCTAGGGCTTCTGTTCAGCCAGATTTCAGGAGGTTCTGATGATGGTGGTTCTGTGTTTTCGTTGTAATTTTGATGTGGTTGTGGGAGGCGGTGGGTGCAGCTGTACCTGTGTCGCCGTCTTGTTTCTCCCCTTTAATTCTTGAGTCATGGTTTCCTTAGTTTTTTCAACATATTTGTCATAGGGGATTTTAAATTTTTTAAGTCCAGTATTTGGCCTTTGTCATGAATAGTTTATTTTGATTGTGTGTGTGTGTGTGTGTGTGCGCTGTTTGCTTCTCTTGTCATGTTTTCATTGTTTAAACCAGACATTTTAAATAATAGCAGCTTCTCATATCAAGATACCTCTTCCAGAGAATTTTGTTGTTGCTTTTTGTTATTGTTATTGTGGTTGCCTTTGTTTGTTTTGTCTTGTGAGTTTTCTGCACTAATTTTGTAAAGTTTGTATTCTTCATTGTGTATGGCTACTGAAGTATTTGATAATTAAACTTAGCATTTGAGTAATGATTGAACAGAGATTTCCTCAAATGCTTTGAGACAGTAAGTCTGGCGCCTTCGCTAAGGGCCTCTGAGGATGCAATGCCTTCAGTGTGTTCACAGCTCTGCTTTGGCCTTTGCTTCCTGCTTGTGGGGAGCCTCAAAGTCATTAGCCAGAGAGGAGAAATTAGGCCCCTTGTGGTTCTTTCCTGAGCATACTCATAGCTCTGTGTGTCACCTAGAACCAAAGGTAGATTTCCTGGAATATTTCAGAGCTTATCGAAGCCTCTCATGGATATCTCTTCCCCAGTTTCTCCTTTTATGCTTTTGAGTTAGCCTCTTATTAGCTCCAACATGGTCATGCTGCTCCAGCAGTTGGAATGTGAGACATTTGTTAGTTGTCGCTGTTTTCCACAAATGCCCCAGCGGTAGATGTATTTGTACAGTGAGCTAAGTCAGGTTACATAAAGCTGAGAAGGCAGCCTTCAAGTTCGCCACCACGGAGATCGAGCTGTGACAGCCCTCTGGCTGTGGGGCATTTTGCGTGCTCCAAACCTGCTGTGCTGGTGGCTGCAAGGCTGCTACTCTTCACCCTATTGTGGCTGTCAAGCTGTGGGTTCCAGGGCTTGAGAGCTAGAGAGGAGGGGATGGGACTAGGGCCAGTGAAAACATCCAAAGTTGGCTGTGCTTGCTCACTTCAGTCTTTGTTCTCGCATAGTGCTCTGTGGGTTTTGCAAGCCTTTGTTTAATATTCAAAACTATGAAAGTGTTGAGTTTGAGGATTTTTGTCAAATGTTCTTGTTGCTGTTACAGATGAGTGAATTTTCAGAGCTCCTTGCTCTGCCATTCTGGATGTGCTTCCAATTAATAATAACTTTGTAAATTTTTATTATGGGCATTTTAAAATCTACTTTAAAGAACAGTTTGTAGTGATGTGGCCCCCCATGTGCCCTCATTCAGCCTCAATATCATCTACATTTGCTAATCTTTTTCCAGCTGTCTACCCACTATTACTTTTTCCTGGAATATTTTATGCAAATTCCAGATATAGTATTATGTCTATACATACTTAAATACAAGCAACATTAATGTGAATGATGATGTTTTGCTGAAACTTTGTTACTGCTTCAAAGGAGAAGGTGGTAGTGGAGGCCCCAGCCCAGTGGTTCTGCCCTCCTGTGTCTGTCGACTGCATGCCTTGGATCCTTTCTCCCAGCAGACTTCTCTGAGAAACTTTCAGTTCATTAGCTCACTGAGACAGCCTTTGGTCTTTGCTTGACAGTATGTGTCATTTATTTGGTTTCTTTCTGCTTTTTTCTCCTTGATCTCTCATTTCTTTTTGCTATTGACATAATGTCAAACAGAAGTGTAAATGCAGTTTCTGAAATTCAGATTATTCAGGTACTTAATTTATTTTTATTCATCAGAAATGAAGATACCAAATGGAAAAAAAACTGTCAGAAATTCTAGACCCTATACTATTGGCTTGTAAATTAAAATGTTTTAGTGATTCCTAACTGTGGGTGAAGGTATGTGTGCTGGTATTAATTGGTGTGCCTTTCAGGAAGGTCATTTGAACTATCTTGAAAACTGCAAATATCCTTGAGTTCTGAAAGAGGTAGTGTATACAAGTATGTTCATTGAAGAGTGCGTCTGGAAATAACTCAAATGCCCATCAGTAGCTGTTAAATGAAAATGTCTTGGATGCACTGTTAATGAAAAAAGTTAAATTATAGGACAGTTAGATAGTCTGTTAATGAAAAAAGTTGAGTTGCACAGCAATATTTCTATCATGATTTCGTTTATATGTGAAAAATAAAATTGCTTGTATCAGTTTGACATTGTGTTAGGCCACAGGTAACAGACTAGAAATAAAAGTGGTTTAACTAATCAGGGCTGCCCAGGTGTAGGCCATCTGGGGCTGTGCTGTCTTGGTGTTATTGGGGACCTGTGCCTCTGTCTTTGTGTTCTGCCATCCTAACTAATGATTTCCATTCTCAAGGTTCCCTAGTGGTCCAAGGCATCTGTCCTAACCTTCGAATCTTTATTGGAGTTTGGGAAATAAAGTCAGAAGGGCCAAAACAGGACCATTTCCTTCTGATTCAGTCCCTTCTAGCAGCCTTCTGAGAAACGAACGCACACCACTCCCGTTAATTAGCACTTAGTCATATGACCGCATGTAGTTGCACAAAAGAAAGAGAATCCTAGTCTTTTTTTTTAGTTTTATTTTTCTATTACAGTTGACATTCAATATTATTATTTTTATTATTATTATTTTTCGTTAATCCTCTTAGAGGATATTTTCTCCATTGCTTTTCAGAGAGAGTAGAAGGGAGGGAGGGGGAGGGAGAGGGAGAGACATTGATGTGAGAGACAGCGACTGGTTGTCCACACGTACGTCCCACCAGGGGCAGGGAGTGAACCTGCGACCCAGGTATGTGTCCTTGACCAAGAATCGGATCCTAGACCCTTCAGTGTGCGGGCCAGTGCCCTCACCCCTGGGCCACACTGGCCAGGGCAACATTTTGTATTATTTTATATGAGTTTCAGGTGTCAGGTATACAGCATAGTGGTTCGATGATGGTTTGATTCACAGAGTGACCCCCTGGTATTTCCAGTGCCTGCCTGGCCCCCACAGTTATTTCAGTATTGTTGACTATCTTCCCTCTGCTGTACTTTACATCCCTGTGACTGTTTGGTAACTACTAGTCTGCACATCTTAACCCCTTCACCATTTCACCCAGTCTTTTACACCCTGCGCCCCAGCAGCCATCAGCTGGAGAACCCCAGTCTTTTAGCGTGGAGAGTAGGGAGCAGAACTTCTGAGTACACTTATACCTGCCTGTCCTGTTGAATGCTGTCCATGAGTTATAAAGAACTCAACAACAACAAAAACCCATGGCTCATTAAGGAGAAGTGTCAGGCCCTTATAATACATCTTACAATCAGTAGTGTGCCATAGTTGTTAATATTTCTTTTAGTGGCAGTAAAATAACTCTTTGAGAATACATCATGAGTGAATCTGAAAACTCTCCCTGAAGAAAGTGGGATAGATTTGTTTTAGGTTCTTCTGACCTTTATATTCTGAGTTGTGTTTGTGGGGTAAGACTGGCCTTGGTATACATTCTCAATTCTCAGGCCTCCCAGCGGTAGTCATTACGAACACTTAACTAATGACCCTCCTTAGCAAAATGAATGAGTGCATCTGCACAAAAAGTTTGTGTATATGTTTACAGGGTTCCTGGGCCATTTCAGCCCATCCAGAGAGAAGCCGTAATCTAAGTCAGCGTCTCATTTTGCAGATAAACTGAGAGCTAGAGAGATGTAGCGATTTCCTCTTGATGAAGCATTTTACACGTTTCCAGATTCCAGCCATGGTTTACTGCCTGTAAAATGCAATGTGATGGGGCCACTGTCATGTGGAGCCCTCTACCCCAAAGAAAACAGACTCTAGCAAAATACCTTAATGAGAAGTATTAAAAGACTGAAAAATTGAATCAATGAAAATTCCCTCAATTCTTGGTACAAATTAAAGCCTTGTGACTCAAGTGTCCTTTAATCCGGAAGTAGGAACAGGGTGGGGAAAAGCGTGTGCTCTGCGTGCGTGGTGGGCTGGCCTCGCCCTGTGCTGGCCTCGGGCTCCGGGCCCTGCCCGCCTGCCTCTGCAGCCCCATCGCAGTGCCCTCTCCTTTTCTCTTCCGGCTCTGCTGAAGCTTCGGCAGCCTCCGTACCCTCCCCAAGCCCCAGCTCTCGTGGCGCCGTGTGGTCCGCCTCGCCTGACACACTCCAGGGAGCGTCCAGAGTCAGCGACAGGCCTGGGCGAGGGGGAGGCGCACGGCCCGGGCTGTCCGGCTATTTGCAGCTGCAGTCCCTGTCTTGTGTTTCAGGTGGAGTCAGAGGGTTCTGACTTTTCTGTTTCCTTTTGCGCTTATTCTGAGTGGTTATAATGTAGCACAATTGATTGTTTCCTCCTCTTCCTTGGCAGCATCCCTGGGGCAGCCAGCAGCCACCTTCTGTGCAGCTTTGGGTCTCCTTTGGCCGGAAGCCCATGCGAGCAGCCCAGTTTGTCACAAGACATCCTATTAATGTAAGTGGGGTTCTTTAGGGGGTGGGAGGAAGGGTCGTTCCCACGCAAGGGCCAGGGAAAGGGTGTTCGTGGCATGTCCTGCCAGGGTGGATATTTGACCAGGCTCCCTGAAGTCACTTTCCAGAAAGGCCTCTAGAGAGAGCCGTTATGCTTTGGGCCTGCTGGTCTGGTTTTTCCGTCTTCATGTTCGAAGTGGAGCTGAACAGGAGCCTAATTTGCTTTACATGGGAAAGGATGACAGGTTTGGAGGCAGAGCCAGCGGGCCCAGTGGGCCAGCACTGAAGGACAGCAGCACTTACTCGAGTACCTGTTGTGCTACTCACAAGTCTAGGCTCAAAAAGGTGTGAGATTTGGTCCTGCCTTTCAGGTACAGACCAGCCTCAGAGACTGAGAGCCATGCAGGGGAGGAAAGCGCATGCAGTCCGACGCACGGGGACCTACAGGGAGGATCAGTGTGGGCGGGGGCGTCAGAGCAGTGGCCGCAGGGAGGAGCTGCCTTGGCACTAGCAGTTGGCCTGGTGGGAGGTTGGTAGCCTAGAAGAGGGTGTGACAGAAAACACTCCTGCCAGCTCTTTGCTTTCTGTGGGCTCCCCTTCCTTTAGTCACCTTGTAGAAAAAAGGAAGGGAAATTCATGTTAGTCTGTATTGTCCTTTGTACTAGTGGTAGGTCTTTTGGGAAAAAGAGGGAGACGTTATTAACTAAAAGGAGGTTTTTAGGTCGTGTATGGAGTTCAGTGGCCCCTTTTCCAATAAGAGCTCTGTCCCAGCTGCAGAGCAGCCTCCGGCTGGTTCCCGGAGGAGAGCCCGCAGGCTTCTTTGCCAAGATTGGGGGGCTTCCACTTTCCGTGGGCTTTAGGCCCACCCTCCTCGCTGGGATGTTGGAAGTCGTTGCTCTAGTGTATATAGGGAAAGCCCACAGGATGTGCGTTTTTTGGCTTATGTATTTTGTATTTTCTATTCCCAAGGAATATTATATCGCAGATGCCTCCGAGGACCAGGTGTTTGTATGTGTCAGTCATAGTAACAACCGCACCAACTTATACATCTCAGAGGCAGAGGGGCTGAAGTTTTCCCTGTCTTTGGAGAATGTGCTCTATTACAGCCCAGCTGGGGCCGGCAGTGACACCCTGGTGAGGTAAGGAGCTCAGGAGTCCCTCCCGCTTTCTTCCATCAGCAGGACCCAGGCCTCTAGTTGTTGGTTTTCAACAATAGCTGAGTGTTTGCACCCAGTTGGGGATGTTTTCAAAAACCCTATCCCTGGCTCACCGTCCCAGAGATGACAGTGTAACTGGTTTGGGGTGTGGCTGGGGTGTGAGGGTTTTAAACAGCTCCTTAGTGATTTTTATTTGACGCAAGGCTGAGCACCACTGCTGTAGGCGGGGCTAGCCTCTGAGACACTGCAGCCTCTCGACATGGGTTCCTCCATTCACTTACCTAGTTCTTGTGGAAGGTGCTGTTCTGTGTCTGTGGAAAGACACCACGTCATTGATCTTTTATCAGTAACTCACAGGGTGAGCTCACTGTTCTGCAGTAATGGGCACTCCCTGGGCTTGGGAAGGTTCATGGTGTTTGGGAGGGATCGATGCCATGGTGTCGTGGGTGGCACTGATTCCTGAGTGCTACCAGTTCACTTAGTCTCCTTTGTTCTATGATAAACCAGACTTGGGAGATGCCCGGTTGTGATTAGGATCTCTCTGCTTGACGAAAGGGTCATCTGGTGAAAATGACTGACTTGTCTGCGGGGAGGTCTGGCTGTAGAGCCGTGGCTGCTGGGTCACAGGGCCCATCCCTGCTGTCCACCCTCTTGGGCTGGCAGCTCATTCAGTCACCAGTTCATTCAGCAAGTACGCTGCTGCTCTGGGCCAGACCTTGCTTTAGGTACAGCAGGGATAAGGTCCCTGTTCCACAGAACTTTTGTCCTACTTAGGAGAAGACAGAATATAAACAAATTTGTAATCTGCCTGGTTATGGTGAGTGCTGGTGAACACAAGAGGACAGAGGTTGACGCGGGTGTCATTTTATACTGGCCGTCATGGAAGAGGGTTACCTTTTAAGAGGTGCTGAATTGCAGGAGGGCGGGAGCCAGGCCGACACCGGGGAGGAGCGCCGCAGGCACAGGGAATGGCAGGCACGATGACTCTAACACCTGACTTCGTAAAGTTGGTTTATTTTAGGAATAGTGAGGAGGCCAGGGTGGCTCAAAGTGAAGGAGGGGAGAGAGAATCCTAAAGACAGGACCAAAGACAGCAGGACTCAGATTGTGTAGGCCTGAAAGGACATGGAGGAAACTTAATTTTTTTCCTTTTTTGTGGACTGGAGGGTTTTGACCAGAAGATGGACATTATTTGATTTAACCTATTACATTTTGTTTTACCATTTAAAAAATTGTGAATTGCATTATATAAAGAAAAGTGCATTCAACAAAATGGACAGTATTGTAAATAATTTTAATTGACCTCCCCATGTGACTTATATTTTATTTTTAATAAAAAATTTATTTTAAAAGTTTTTAAATGACAGAAGAATATGGAACACTTCATGAATTTGCATGTCATCCTTGCACGGGGCCCGCACTAACCTCTCTGTCATCCCAATTTTAGTATATCTGCTGCTGAAGTCAGCACGTGACCTAGCTTTTAGAAAAGCCATCCTCATTGCTTTTTGGGATTCAAACTCCTGGAAGGGATAAGAGTGCAGGCCAGAAAAATAGCTGTACAAATGTTGCAGAAATCCAGGCCAGTGGAGATGGATGTTGGCTGGACCCAGGCTAGTGGCAGTGGAGATTCTGACCATTTGCTAATAGATTTGCTGGCAGATTAGATGCAACAAGGAAGAGTCAAGAGACCACCACTGCTTGGCCCAAGCAGCTGGTAGAATAATAGCTACATACTGAGCCAGGAGGGCTGCTACAGGTATAGGTGTGTGGTGGGGGGAAGATCAAGAATTTGGGTTTGGACTTACTAGGTTGGAGATGCCTATTAGATATCCAAGTGGAGAACTTTTCACATGGTCTCTAATAGTGCTTTTCCACTTCCTATTTATTTTCCATCACATGTGCTATCTTTTTAAAAAATAAAAATTTTTCAATTACAGTTAACATTCAATATTATATTAGTTTCAGGTATACAGCATAGCATGTAGACGTTGATATAACCTACGATGTGATGTGATTCCCCTGATAACTCTAGTACCCATCTCACAGCATACATAGTTATTACAATATATTAACTATATTCCCTATGCTATACTTTACATTGCTGTTACTACTTTGTAACCGCCAATTTGAATTTCCTAATGCCTTTCATCTTTTTTACCCTCCCCCCAACCCACTTCAATCTGACAACCATCACTGTTCCCTGTAGCTATGAGTTAGTTTCTGTTTTGTTTGTTTGTTTATTTTGTTCTTTAGAGTCCAAATACAAGTCAAATTATATGGTATTTGTCTTTCTCTGTCTGACTTATTTCTCTGTCTGACTTAGTGTAATACCCTTCTTTATATAAAAATATTGATTTTAGTGAGAGAAAGGAAGGGGGGGGAGAGAGAGAGGGAGAGAAACATCAACTTGATGTTCCATCTATTTATGCATTCATTGGTTGATTCTTATATGTGGCCTGGCCAGCGATCGAACCCGCAACCTTGGCGTATCACGATGACTCTCTAACCATCTGAGCTGCCTGGCCAAGGCTATTTTCAATTTTTTGAGAAACCTCCACACTGTTTTCCACAGTGGCTGCACCAATTTGCAATCCCATCAACAATGCGCAAGGTTCCCACATCTGCGTTAACATTTGTTTGTTGATTTATTGATGGTAGCCATCTGACAGGTGGGGGATGGTATCTCATTGTGGTTTTTATTTGCATCTCTATAATGATTAGTAACTTTCAGCATCTTTTCATATGTCTATTGGCCATCCGTATGTCCTCTTTGGAGAAGGGTCTATTCAGGTCCTCTACCCGTTTTTTAATAGGATTGTTTGTATTTTTGATTTTAACTTTTGTGAGTTCTTTATATATTTTGGATATAAAACCCTTATTGGATGTATCATTGGCAAATATCTTCCTCTACTGAGTAAATTGTCTTTAGTTATATTGTTTCATTTGTTATGCAAAAATTTTTTAATTTGATATAGTCTCATTTATTTATTCAAAAATATATTACCAAGAGCAATGTCAAAGACTTTCCTGCTTATGTTTTCTTCTACGAATTTTATGATTCCAGGTCTTACATTTAAGTCATTAATCCATTTTGACTTTATTCATGGATATGATGTAAGAAGGTGATCTAGTTTCATTTTTTCTCACGTGTCTGTCTAGTTTTTCCAAGACCATTTATCCAAGACCATCTTTATCCCATTGTGTGTTCTTGTCTTCTTTGTCATAGAGTAATTGACCATGTAGACATTTTCTCCCTGGACTCTCTTCTGTCCCATTGATCTGTGTGCCTGCTTGTATGCCAGTACCAAGCTGTTTTGAGTACTACAGCCTTGTAAAACATTTGGTATCAGGTAGCGTGAGTCCCCCACTGTTTCTTCTCTCTCAAGATCGCTTTGGTTATTCAGGGCCTTATTATGGTTCGTATAAATTTTACGATTATTTGCATTAGTTCTGTGCAAAATGCCATTGGTATTTTGGTGTAGGGATTGCATTGAATCTATATTGCTTTGGGAGGCATGGACATTTTTAACAGTGCTAATTCTTTTTACTCGTGAGCATATTATATGCTTCCATTTATTTATGTCTTTTTCAGTTTCTTTCTTCAGTGTCTTAATTTTCCAAGTACATGTCTTTTATCTCCTTGCTTCAGCTTATTTCTAGGTATTTTATATTTTTCGTTGTAATTGTAAATGGGATTGTTTTCTTAATTTCTCTTATAGTTGTATAAAAATGCAACCCATTTCTGAATATTAATTTTGTATCCTGCTACATTACTGAATTCATTTATCAATTCTAATAGTTTTTTGATAGACTCTTTTGGTTCTTTAGATATAAAGAATGATAATGTCATCTGCAAATAGTGAAAGTTTTACTTTTTTCTTTCCAATCTGGATGGATGCCTTTTATTTCTTTTTCTTGTGTGATGGCTATGGCTAGGACTTCCAGTACTATGTCTGATAAAAATGGTGAAAGTAGACAGTCCTGTCTTGTTTCTGATTTTGAAAATGTTTTTAACTTTTCCTCACTTAGTCTGATATTAGCTATGTGTTTGTCATATATGGCCTTTGTTATGTTGAGGTATATTTCTTCTGTTCCCACTTTGCTGAGAGCTTTAATCATAAATTGATGCTGGGTTTTGTTCAAAGGCTTTTTCTTCATCTATTGATACAATCTTATGATTTTTATCTTTCATTTTGTTTATGTGGTTTATCATATTAATTGATTTGCAGATATTGAACCAACCTTGCTTCCCAGGAATAAATCCCACTTGATCATGATATATGATCTTTTTAATCTGTTGCTGAATTCTGTTTGCTAATATTTTGTTTAGGATTTTTGCATCCATGATTATCAGGGGTATATGCCTATAATTTGCTTTTTGTGTAATGTCTTTGTTTGGTGTTGGTATCAGGGTAATGCTGACTTCATAAAAAGATTTTGGGAGACTTCCCTTCTGTTTAATTTTTTGAAATAGTTTGTGAAGGATAGGTGTTATTTCTTTGAATGTTTGGTAAAACTTAACCTGTGAAGCCATCTAATCCAGGACTTTTGTTTGTTGGGAGTTTTTGATTACTGATTTGATTACATTAATAGTTATTGGTCTGTTCAGATTTTCTGTTTCTTGATTCAGTCTTGGAAGATTGAATGTTTCTAGGAATTTTTCCATTTCTTTCAACTGACCAGTTTGTTGTCATGTAATTATTTGTAGTATTTTCTTTGTATTTCTGTGATGTCAGTTGTGACTTCTCTTTTATTTCTGATTTTATTTATTTGGGTCCTCCCTCTTTTTATCTTGATGAGTCTGGTTAAAGGGTAATAAGTTTGTTTTATCATTTTAAGAAACCAGGTCTTGGTTTCAGTGATTGTTTGTATTATTTTTAGTCTCTCTTTAGTTTATTTCCCTGTTATATTTATTATTTCTTTTATTCTGTCTTTGGGTTTTGTTTCTTGTTATTTTATAGTTCCTTTAGGTTTAACTT